AAACACTTTTCTCTAGCTAGTAACAGTTTTGCTGCCATAATTAATGGTTTCTTTCATCCAAAATTGGACTACGTACATCCCACTTTTAAAACTGTACTGAACATCTTCAATTCTCTTCATCATTTGATCAAAACTCCTGAATTGATCACCAAAATTTTGAAGTTTGGAAGATTATAGTAGAGTGGTGCTACACTGCTTGTCATGACAATTTAAGAAATTTTTACCGTGTTTGGGTGTAAACTTTTTCTGAAATGTTATAAATTAAGCGACCATGCTGCAGTTGCGATTTGAGCTCTATGACATGAAGGACATGATCTTGTTCAAAACGGTAAAGTCATGAAGTAGTGTGAAGTACAGTTCCAGAGGTCTTTTAGGGATCACTGCTAGATCAGAATGGGCGGTTTGTTAAAAGTGCGTCTGTAGCTTTGTTACAATAATCTCACATTTGATAAGCACAACAGGATGCAACTGAGGTTCGATATAAGAGCAATAAAAAATCTTAAGAGTAAGTATATATTTCTTGACCTTTTGGATAAGATCAAATGTAGTATTTGTTTTTATCAATTGAAAAGATGATACGTGAGTTACTGACACAATAACTTGGGTCACCATATATGGAATTGCACTATAACAAGGGCGTGACATTGCGTACCCCACCAATTCATAATTGAAAGGGAAATGATTTTTGTATAATCTTTTTATTCTTTTTTTGTACAACCTAACGTATCATCTAAATAATTAATTTTTTTAATTCATATGGGACTCGTGATATTAAATACATTCATTTATTTAATGATATGTGAAAGTTATACAAAAATGTGGTATAAAAATATTGTCCCTATAGCACCACCCTGATTAAAATATTTCAAGGATAAAATTTTAAATAGAAAAGCTTAATTAATGCTATGCTGAATGCCTGAATGTACTAGCTAGATGCAATAAGATCTGGAAAAAAATGTTCTGGGTTTGCTTCTGGCAAAGCTTAATGCAGTGCTTCTCTCGGTTCTGCAGCAAATACATCAAATAAGTATTCCATTAGGACTGCCATATGTCATACCTGTTGCGGGTACATATCTGCTATGCACTGATCTATGAAAAGTCTTATTTCCACTGTCACAAGGGATTGTGGAAAATAAGAACTTTCTGACAATTAAAATGCCAAGACCTTTTATAAAATTATTTAAATATTTTGAATAAATTAACATACAAGAAAATTTTATTAAGGTATGTATTTAAATAATTTCATAAGAAGTCTGCATATTTTTAATGTTAAAACATCTTAATTTTTATTTTTCTCTTGTTACAAAAGAAAAAAAGCAGAGGATAACAAACTTTAAATTAAAAGAAGGGTAAGGAGAGGTGCTGCGCTGAGTGTTGTGCCAGCAAAATGTAATATATATGTTTGATCTCCAAATTTTCATTGTTATAACGAAGGTGAGAAGCTTCCTATAAAAGCTACGGGAGGAAAATAAGTTGTTTCTGATTTAAGGCACATATAGATATGGTTCCATTATTTATATATAATATTTGAAATATGAATTATTACATGTTCTGGGTATGTCTTGTTCTTTTTGACAATAGAAGAGGACATTATACTGATTCTAGTTAACTAGTATGAAGGAAGGGAAGGCAAAAAATTATTATAGAAGTAAGACCTAGCTAGATCCC